GTTAACCAATAAGAAAGTTTTTTGAGTGTTCCTTTTGTCAAGCCATGTCTGCAAAAATGGGGAATAAATGAGGGGGCAAATACTGATTCACTGCACTGTAGCTTGGTAGGTCAGAGTAATATTTCAAAATATTTTAAAAGTTTAACAGATTTAAGTTCTGATCCTTTACATATTTGATTTATACAAATGTTGGTGCTGAAGAGTTCTGTCTCTCTCTGTGATGTGTGAGTGTAAGAACACAGGAAGCGTTGATTGTTGAACACTTTGCTCAGTCAGTCAGTCATTACGGGGACAGTATGGAGTTCAGGTCACTCTCTGTAATACTCTGTGAGTAAATGTTCTCTTTCTGTCTGTATGAAGTTGTTCATATTCAGTCTGAGGGTTCTGAGAGTATCTATGTAGTTTGACGTGTACAAAAAATATAGCATCTACTCTGCATTGTGGGTCATCAATAAACATGCATTTTTGTGTGCTTAAGACACAATGACATTTTCATATAAACTATTAAATTAACATTAAATTAAAAGAGATTATGTCTGAGTAAATCTTAACGATTTAAAATATAGCCTCAAACTATGCTGAAAACATTTCACTCACTTTTGTAATGTTGAATTATAATGGCTTTGTGTGTTTCTCATTCAAATTCTTTGGATTAAAAAAAGTGATAAAGTATTACATTTTCCATTTTCCATTCATTTAAGGTAATTGTGTATGTGTGTGTGTGTGTGTGTGTGTGTGTGTGTGTGTGTGTGTGTGTGTGTGTGTATATATATTTTTTTTTGTATTTTTTATATATATTTTTTTTTGGTGATCACTTATTTTCTGCTAGTCAGGCAACCTTTCATCACAATATTAAAGAACTGAAGCAAACCAAAAACAGATTTCTTTACTAACCAGAGCAAACAGTATGTTATTAACATTTATCAAAAAGTCATGAATGTCCTCAAACTTCCACACCATCTGCAATATGTTCCCACTTGTTGTTGTGGGTGATGGTAACAGTAAGGAATTAAACAGCTTTTATAAGAAGGTGTTTCTGTGGCGTCCAGTATAATCTTTGAATATGTTTAAAATTGATTAATTGGTGATTGTGGTTTGGGAATTAATTATTGATTATGATGACTTCAGGTCTAGTGCTGAGTCTAGTGTTTATTCTTCATCTTAATAATTTTTCAGTGTTATGAGTTTTTTGTATAACATGGTAAAGCATAATGTGTCTTACTGTATCTTAATCATTTCAATATGTTTCTAAAACAAGGATAAAAATAGCAATTCTCAGCCATTTTGTAAAGTAGTTCTGTGCATGTCCATAACATAATGAGCTTGATAAAATGTTTTCTTCTTCTTTAATATGCAGTGTTTACAGTAAAGACTTAAAATAATTCTAATTTAGACACATTGTCCAGTTGTTGTGGTGTGAAAAAGTCAGTTTGGTGATTTAATTCTTTTTTAAAAGGTTTTTTTGAGAAATCTTCATCCATTAGTTAAATCTTAAATATTCTGCATCTTAATTTTTACTGTTGTCAGATCAGAAATTGTGTATTTTATCTGTTCTTGTGCTGGATGTGAAAGCTGGTTTGTGATTTTAGCTGTTGAATGGTGATGATCTGATCTGTGTATGATCTGTATGTTCTTTAACTCTCAGTCTTATGCAGTGTTTTATACAGTCTAATCATGTGTTAGTGACAGTATCAGTGGTGGTGGTCAGTGCTGTTGTAGACGTGCTGTGAGACTCTGCAGTGTTTGGTGGTGGTCAGTGCTCTGTGATAAACACACTGATGTGCTGAATTTACTTTATTCTAGATTAATGAAATATAAGGTGAATGTTGCTGCAGTGGGACACTTTCAGAAACATTACTTTCTCCAGCTCAGCAAACCTTTATAAAAAGCTCAACCTTTTCTTTTACAGAAACAGTACAAAGGAAACACAAACACAGACAGAATGATCTTCTTAGAACCTCTGTTGATCAGCTCTGGATGTTAAAACGGGAGCCGAAATTGACAGTATTGTTAAAATTTACAGACTTGGACTGTCTGGGGGTCCCTGAGGATCAATATGAGAACTATTGCATCCTCTATAAAAATCGGACAGAAAATGATACATGGCTATTTCTGCCATTTTAATCTACTCTTTTCTGTTAACAACATGGTTTCTCATCACTGTTGCTGGTTCATTCTGTCACTGTGGCGGCAAACAACCATGAAAATGAGCTCAAAACAATTCTAAGAATAAAGCACAGACTATGTCAAGTTGACATAAAGTTGATGTCAGTCTGTGTTGGTCAGTCGGTGTGTTCTTTTGCTCTATACCTAAATTAACCTACAACAAAATATAAAATAATTCTTCTTTTTGAATATTTTAGTGTGTGTTTTATTTTATTTTATTTTTTAATTTATTTATTTATTTTGTTAATGTTGTACTTGCACAGTAACTCCTCTGGCAGCAAATTTAAAGTAGTTTAAGGAGCCTCACCAAATTCTCAGAATAGATCACCAGCAAGATGCTCAATAAAATGTTAAAAAACATTTTTAATCGTTCATTTAACTTGTAATATGTATGAAAATGAAGTTTAGGGCTAATATCTGGGTGTCTGTGAAAGAAAATCTCAAAGAAATCTCAAATCTAAAATTTCCCAGCTAGTTCTGTGTTTTTTTTGTTTGTTTTTTAGAAAACAGTAAAGTTGTTTGTATAATAATAATAATAATAATGATGATGATGATGATGATGATGATGATGATGATGATGATGATAATGATACGATGATGATAATGATAATAATAATAATAATAAAATCAAATACAAGCCTCTCGATCTAATCTATATTTGCCAGTAGTTACTTTTGATAACTATAATCATTTGTGTGTGTGTGTGTGTGTGTGTGTGTGTGTGTGTGTGTGTGTGTGTGTGTACATATAATGTATTTACATAGAAGCCCCTTAAAATGACTTGTGGGGCTGTCTCAGTTTACAGTAACACTCTTTTTCTTGCTAATATGACAATGATAAAGTGATTTTTTTTTCTTTAGAACAAAACCTCACATCCCAAAGGAGACACAAAGGAAAAACTTTAACTTTTAATGTACATTAAAGTAACAATATTTTATTCTGAGTTACCATAGATCGTTTTAATGGTTCATTAAATTTTGACACCGCATAAACAGCAGCTGGCATTTTTTTCCATTGCAAATTAAAAAGTATGAAAGTATGAGCTCAGTAATAACCTTTCATCTATACACACATAAATATGGAGGATCAATATTAAGTGTTTACCAATAATCACTCTATTACATCAACACAGTTTAGTCAGGTCTCTCTCTGTAATACTCTGTGAGTAAATGTTCTCTGTCTTCATCAGAGTCAGAGCTCCTGTATGAAGTTGTTAATATGCTTCTGTGTGATTAAGCAACTGTATGTAGTTCAGGAGGGTGTGTGTAGACACTGGCGCTAATTAAGGGGTGATGTTTTTGAAAGTGATTTAATGAAAACTAAAACAGCAGCTGTGTGAATGAAGACACACCACATGGACACTGAGAACAGTGTCTGTTAGTGTACAGCAGCTCTCTGAGGCTTGTGTGTGGCAGGAGCAATGCAGAACGTGTTTTTTGACACGCCTGTCAAATGATTTTCAAACTGAAAATAAGTTAACATATTCTGTACATAGAGAATATTTAAATCTGTCAATTTCTTGCAAATATAGTGCACAATATGCATTTATTTCCTGAGTTTAACATATTGCAAAAAAAAGGCAAATAAGCAATAATTTTGCATTAAAATTTGCAAAAGTGTGTTCTTTTGTAGAGAATGTGTAACTTATTTTCACTTAGACCATCAACACATCATTTTAACAGGGGCGCCCACATACGCACATGACAGTATGATGTTAACAGGTCAGAACCTTTTACACACGTCCCAGACACAGTGTGGTATTTAGAGAACAGATGTGGAGGTGAGTTTTTTCAGTGCACCACACACGCAATGCAGCAAAATACAATGGCACAAACTATTGAAAATCAATAAAAATTGCAACATTATGCAATTACTTTCTAAGCTAAAATACATCCACATTTGGAGTGCTGGTTTGTCAAAGATGGTCTGCAACTTGAAGCAGACTATTCAGTTACCTCGTATGTCTGGCTAATACCTTTTATTCAGCTTATTCAAGTACACACATCATTCAGAATGGTGCTACCAGGTTACCTTTGTTGTTTCTTAAGTAGCGATGATGTGAAGATGCTGAAGAAGTCTTTGCTGACACCACATTACTTGCATAAGATGTTTATTACAAAGTAAAATGGTATCATATCAAGCACTATAAAGTACCTGAGAGAGGATCCGTGCCAATTGTGTCCCCTCCAGAACAGAATATCCAACTGTTTATATAGGGTGCTTGTTGTTGAAAAAGCAAACTGAACATATGGCCCTTTTACATTGATCTCATCTATGTGGAACTAAGAGATAGACCTTTGGACCAGGGGGCCTTTAACGTAAACATTTCAAATCCTGCAGGACAGATAACACAGAGGACTTCAGACCTCACCTTATACTTACAGAAGTTTAAGAGTGTTTTTACCTTCTTCTATAAAACTATTCTTCTAAATACACCTCACCTTCTTGGAAAGTCAGAGCTCTAAAGGTGTGAGAACTGTGAAGAAGACCTGTTTTGATATTTATATTGGCTCTTTACTCTGGCAAATTTGAGTGAAATGAGGAGTTTGTGTCATGAACAACATGAGTATGACTGAAAGCTCTATTCCAGATAATACATGCCATTTGTAAATAATATTCTTTTTTTTAATATGATTTTTTAAAATTGTTTTTGCTTTTTTTTTTAAATTGATTTACAGGCCATCCGATATGACAATGTAGTAACTGTAACCTCAGATGTACTTTTTCACCTAGTTTTAGGTTTAAATTGCTGTGTCGTGCTTTGAGTCATAAATTCTACTGCGATATTATTTCATAATAATTCATCATATTTTCTTTTTCTGTCTTTATTTTAGTGCTGATTGTCCTCATCCACGATGGAAATACTGATGGTAAATCTTGAAATTTTACAAGTACATGAACAGAATTTTTTTTATTTTTGATTTACATTTAGTTAAATAAATTAAATAATTAAATAAACCTTTCCTTTAATTTATGACTATGAAAAGTGTCTCAAATCAGTGAAATCACAAGTATTAACATGTTTATTGCATGTTTAAGATGAGCGCTATATGTAAATTAAGCTGATCCTGTTGATGTTTAGTAGATCAGTGTAGATCAAAGATGTCTTTTCTTTAAGGACAAAAAATTAGTCTCCTTGCGTGTTTAAGGTGGTGGTAACTTCAGGCTCCTGCAGATGGCATTTTGGACGAGGATGATCAGGATATAAATACATGTGGCGTGCTGATGGGATTCAAAGATTGAGAAGAGGTGGTACAGTGCAGTGAATGTCTCATTCAATGTGTGGGAAATGGGTTGCAAAGCAGATGTTAAGGAGTGATTGCATTTGGGTGTGCCAAAGGCCATAGTGTGAAGAAAGTAGCTGAATTTGCAGGTGTATCAAAGCATACAGTCACACAGGTTGACCAGCAGTGGCAAAAATCACAGTCTACAGGAAATTCTTGTCAGAATTGTGGCTGAAAGACGAAACTGATGGACAGGGACCGCTGGCATGTTTCACGCCTTGGGAATAAAAATCGTTTTGCTTCCAGCCAAGAATTGCTTCTTGAAGTCAGCGCAGGTCCTTCACAACCAATTCCTGAAAGAACTCTATGAACATATGAAGCAAAGTGGCACGCAAGAGGCCTTTGCTCACAAAATTGCCTGGTTACAGTGGGTGAGGAAACACAAAAATTGGACTGTTCATGACTGGAAACGTATTATCTGGTCAGATGAATCCCGTTTCTGCCTGAATGTGATGCTAGGTGTCATGTTTATCGTAAACCTCAGGAATGAAGGCTGTGTGCAATGGTGATTGCGTGTAAGGTGTGGTTCAAGCTGCAGGAGGCTCTGTGATGTTCTGGGTGTGTTTCCATTACGTGGAAATGGGTCCTTTGGTTGAGGTGACAGTAAATTTGAACCACAGTGCTTACATTGAGCTGCTGGACAACCAGGTTTTGTCTTTTGCTCATCATCTTGCCGAGGAACATACCCTTCCTATCCCTGTATGCCAAGATGTCAATTCTCACGCTCACAGGGCTGCAAATGTGACTGATTAGCATGAACATTCAAGACTGGCCTGTTGTTATTCGTGCTTGTGCAGGTATTACACGCTATTAGGTACATTTCAGTCCCAGGTGAGTGAGCTTATCAGCCAGTGGTTAAAATTAAAGAGCCTCCTGACCAGAAAGAAATATTCATATGAGACACTGTCACACTAAAACGTGAAAGAAAGAAGGGAGAAGGCAGTGTGTGGATTTACAGCTGGTTTAAGAGCGGAATAGACATTCAGCTCTCCGAAAAGCAAGCTGAATACACTTTTAAAGTGACAGCAAATGACAATGCTGAATTTTATCTGGAATGGATTAGGAACAAAAACAGATGATGAAACAAATAGGACAGAAATCAGTAAACCAGTTGAACTCTGTGTCTGGTAATTTTGTTTATCTTTAACTCACTGCAGAATTTTCAGTTTCACTGAGTCTGTGACATGTATTAGTAAAACAAGTAAAATACATAATTTTTGATGTAGTATAATGTTAATGTATATAGTAAACATGAATCTGTTTTACAAAATTTCCTAAGTTAAACCTTTTTAAAAACATTTATAAAATATACTGTGCGCTACTACTAAAATGATCATTCTTCATGGTGTAGATATGCACTGATAAGATCATCGGAATAAATTGGTCTGAGTGTATTTAATTTTGTTTCCACAGAGAGACCAAAAGCTATCGTGTCCATACAACCTGATAAACAGGTGTTTATAGGAGAGACTGTCACTCTCAGATGTGACATACAGGGAGAAGGAGTCTCTAACTGGCAGTACAGCTGGAATAAATATGATCCATACAGACCTGTCAGTAATGAACAGCAGTACAGAATCAACTCTGTTACAGAGTCTCACAGAGGAAAATACACCTGTGAAGGAAAAGAGAGAGGAAGATTACGCTACTCACAGATCAGTGACGCTGTTAGACTGACTGTATCAGGTGAGTGTGATCATCTCTTCAGCATTCATTAACCTCAGTATCACAGCAATACAGATGAGACCAGATGTTTAGTTTGTTTATTTAGAGTCAGTTTCAGTAATATACTCTGAATATGCACTGCTGTTCTCTTCTTTCTGTAGATCTACCCAGAGCTACACTGACTGTAGAACCGGAGAGTCCTGTGTTCAGAGGAGAGTCAGTCACTCTGAAGTGTGAGATTATCACTCATGATGGATGGACATATCAGTGGTATAAACAGGATACATGGCGTAGCTTGACTGCAGTGTCTCAGTCTGTGTATTACACTGTAAACAGAGACACTCTCACCATCAGAGAAGATGCTGTGATTAATGGAGATCAGTATCAGTGTAGAGGAGAGAGGCGTTACAGACCAACATCATCACAGTACACTAACTTTGTTACACTCACTGTAAAGGGTGAGAGCATAAATATAATTTCTGCTTAATTAGATTATTAATACAGTGTAGCAGGTTGGGGTATTGCAGTATTTTCACTGACCATGTTTTACAGCCCTGAAATCTCTGGAGTTACCACATGATCTTGCCTTTATCCAGGCACGGCCCCAAGGGTGCTGGGTGCTCAAACACCCCCTGAAAATCGTTCAGCACCCTGCAACACTGTGATGATTGATCACAGGCCCATCCAATCAAAGGGGACAATGTTAATTAAGATGCATTTGTTCAGGTGGTGAAATTTGATTTGTTCTCTGTGAGCTCTGTCACTGTATTATGGCCAAACCGATCATTACGTTCTCCGTTAAACTTCACCTCATTTCCTCAGCCCTCAATTGCTTTTGGCCTGATGTTATGACTGTGGGATGCAGCGCACTTGGAAATTGTATCTACCAAGTTGACCTACCTAAAAAATGATTACTGCCTACATCACTGGTGTGTGCATCACTAAAATGCAATGTGTAACTGTGAAGAGCAACAGTACATGCAGAGTTAAAGACTAGTCGATGAAACGTGGGTAAACAAGCCTCAGTCGTGCTCTTGAATATTGGAAACTTCATACTGAATCTTCATATTGAATGACTGGGGAAAAACAGCCACCCCTGCTGGGCGAAGCTTGCGTAACATGCTGTGTTAGCCTTTTTTTTTTCTCCATATTTTACCCATCTAGTGTATACAGAACCCCTTCACCGAGTAAAGGTTTTGCCATTTCTACGCATGTTTTCCTTTATTCGTGGTCACAATTTCTTTATTCATTCACATGATTAACAATTTGTTCTCTCATTTTCATTGAATTGTGTGCATGTGTGTGGTGTTTTAGTTTGTGGCTATATTTTCACAATGCATAACACATGAATGTTTCTGTGTGTATTTAATTTGTATTTAATGATGTTAAAACCCTGAACATTTCTTTCTGTAATTGTGTGACACTCCTAACACTGCAGCTTGATTCGTGAGCAGAAACAGTGATAAGCAGCTGCACTGTGTCTTCATCTCTGTTAAATACAATCATTAGAAAGTGCAGTTTAGTGAAGGTTGTGATTGTGGTTTATTGTCTTTCTTCATTTCTCCACAAAACTGCAGCTGCACTGATGACTCTCTGGGCTGTTTGCTGATTCTAAAGCCCTGCTGTGAAGGGGAGCTACAATGTCTTCATCAAACCTAATTAGCACATCTCTGTTCATTATCGCATCAAACTAACACATCAAAACCAATCAGGCAGTTTCTGGAAGCTGTTGGGCTACTTCTGCACATTACTTTGTTACTTTTGACATGAGATTATTTTAATCTTTAATTTGGCAATAGTGTTTCCAATGCTGACATGTAATGCTTTGTTTGGTAGATAAATTGAGTGTTTAGGTTGGGAGTTTAGTGTCTGCACTGTCTGAACTGTGTGCTTCATCTCTGCAGAAAAACCTAAACCTGAACTCACATCAAGCCATAAAGGAGCTGCACTGATAGGAAATCCAGTGGTTCTGTACTGTAAGCTGGATCAGTCAGCTGGATGGAAGTTTTACTGGATCAAACACACACAGAACCCTGAGAATGAGATCAAGACTGAAACACACTCCTACGCCATCAGCTCAGTTAGTGTCTCTGATGGAGGACAATACTGGTGCAGAGCTGGGAGAGGAGACCCAGTCTACTACACTCACTACAGTGATGCTCTCTGGATACGTGTTACTGGTAAACTTTCTGCTACTGATCTGGTGCTAAACATGGCCTATAAACTGCACAGCCTATACACAGCTTCATGATCAGTGCACCTATACCATTTTAAAGTTTTATTAAGGCTGTGTGGGAACTTCAGATCAAGCCTGCTGTGTGAACAGGAAAGTAGAAAGTAGCTCAAGCCTAGTTTTGATTTGTCTGACTGACTGCCTAAAAGGGGAGTTATGCAAGAATCTGAATTGTGAAAATTTGCTGTAATTCAATCACTCAGCTGTGAACAAAGTCAGAGTGTTTTGATGTGGCATGGTACTCACTTATTATTTCTTTATAGTGGTGGTGATGGGAACCAGCAGTCGCAGTGTCAACAACTTTATTTAGTGTCCAAAACCAGCAGTGAAGCTACACGTTTTTTTTATTTTATTTTATTTTTTTTTATATGTAACGTTGACAGTGGTAAAATAATGTATCATTATTATTTTTCCTTATAACATCCTGCATGTACTTTAAAAGTGTGTTTCAGGCTGAACCTTATCTCAAAACTAAAGTGAAACAATGTCTTATGCATGAGGCAATGTCTTCATAACCATTTCATGTAATAACTCTCTGTGGGAGCTTTAAGAGGCATCAAACATTTTAGACATTTTGTTCCTATCACCACCACTGTGAACAAAATCTGAACTGGCAAATTTCTCCAGAATGGCTCAGTTCAAATCAAACTACTCTGAATGACTTTGTTTAAATAATAATGATTTAATTACACAAATATTCAGAAAAACATTGTAGAATTCCCCTTTGTCAAGCTGTTTCAAGGATGTAAAAGATGCATAGATTTGTTTGGAGATGTTTGAACATGGTTAAGCAAATACTTTAACAGATCTAAAATGACTACTTATTGTATTACTATTAATTGTATTTATTTAAAGAGCAAATAAACACTTACTGCCCAATTTAAAGTCTTTTTAAATATAAAATGTGTGCCTGAAATATATGCACAATTCTGTACATCATTAAAAAGGGAGAGGTACCATCGTATGCAAATTACATTTTGTTGATCAAAGTTGATCAGACTGTAGAGATGAAAATATGGATACTGAAGTATGATACAAAGCATGATCCTGACATCCTGAAAAAAAAATCATTCCTCACATTTCCTTTAGTGTCTTCATAACCAACCCAAATCCAAATCATATATAATTAGCACATCTCTGTTCATTATTGCATCAATCTAACACACCAAAACCAATCAGGCAGTTTCTGGGAGCTGTTGGCCTACTTCTGCACATTACTTTGTTACTTTGACATGGGATTATTTTAATCTTTAATTTGGCAAAGATGTTTCCAATGCTGACATATAATGCTTTGTTTGGTAGTTAAATTGACTGTTGAGGTTAGAAATTTCCTTTAGGACACATTTACATGGAAACTATAAAGTTAATCTACTGTTTAATGGACTCATAAGGCTCAAGGATTATTTAATCGTGCATTAACTATGTTGTTTAGATGCACTGGCCAATAGAAATAATCCAGAATGACCTCATTACATTAACGTACACAGAGATATGAGATTTGTATACAACAGAAACAATACAATGCTGTTGTCAGGTTTTTTTTGTTTGTTTTTCTTACAGTTGCTTGGCAATGATATTTTATGCTGAATATCGATATGCCTAATATGTAAACATTATTTTATATTTCATAATTTAATGTGTATTTATTAAGATGCATGCTAGAGTCTTCACTGTATTTTTCAGGTACGACTCGTCCAGTGTCTTTGATGGTCAGTCCAAGCAGAACTCAACACTTTATTAATGACTCTCTCTCACTGAGCTGTGAGGGACAGAGTGACTCTACTGGATGGAGAGTGAGACGATACACACACAGTGAGAAGGTGTCAGATTGTTCATCAGGCTGGGGATCAGTTACAGGATCTACATGCAGCATCAGCTCCCTCTACACATCCCACACTGGAGTGTACTGGTGTGAGTCTGAATCTGGAGAGAGCAGTAATCCTGTCAACATCACAGTGCACAGTGAGTCTACTTTATTCTATCACTAACAGGAGTTCAGTATACACGTCTAGAGACAGAGTATTTCAAATTGATTTAACTATATGGATTTGGATGCAGTAATAGCTCATGAAGCTCATGGAACGTCGGCAAAGTTTCTGTGGGGTGTATTTTTCTATGAAAATGTGTGTTTGAATCATATGTGGTCATATCACAGAAAAATAAAGTTAATGATTTTGTGATAATTAGGATAATTATGAGCTTGAATTTTCAAATATTTAAATAGGCTTTAAATAGTTTTTAAAAATCAAATAGTAAACTAGGATTTTCAATATGCAAATAAAGTTGTCTCTAACATTATACATTGTCAAAAGAACCATGGGATATCTGAACTCTTCACAAGAGGGCAGTGTAGAGCCAGCAACCTATGTTTTGGTCACCTTCATTTTGTTCTCTGTTTAGTTTGAAGAAGGAAGCATAGAAAGACTAAAGCTGGTTAAAGACTACAGCACACTCTTCTAGAAGCTCAACACTGCCTAAGGGGGCTCTAAAGCTGGGAAGCAGATAGTAAAAAGCGCAGCTAAATCATATGGGAAGTGTTGCAGAACAGCACAGATAAATATCAAGTTCAGGCTGGTTTTAGACTTCGCTCATAGATTTGTTGGAATAAAACTTTCAACATCATTTTGGTTCAGTATCATCTAACTAACCTTTAACAAACTTGCTGTTGCCGAAATGTACAAAGTGAAATACAATTTGACAAAGCTAGTAACGTTGAAAACATGATTTTAGAGCCACATCTTTCCCAGTGCAAACTTCAAGCCACACAATAGTGCTTTATTAGCTGCCATCATAATCACCCCTTTTCTCAGCCTGGAGAATCTCACGTCACTTATAGACTTGATATTCTTTGTCCTGCTGCTAATGCACTGCTAGTGTAGAGATGATGGAAGTTCTATTACCCAGGACCAATAAATGGTTGAGCGTCCACTGATTCCACTGATTGAAGTGTTTAATATGGATACGCACACTAAGAGACTAAATAGAGGGCTGAAATGATCAAAGAACTGCTTCCGAAATCACAGGTACTGACCTCCTACAACTTCAGGACATTTATGCATTCCGATGCTGAGCGAGGGCTCAGTCTCATCTCTGATTCCTCTCACCCAGCTCATGTCCTGTTCTTCTGACTTTCCTTCAACAAACGCTTCTGAAGCAAAACAGCATGTGTCACCTGCCTCAGAAACAGCTTCTTTCCCCGACCAACAGAGCACTGTTTATTGTTGGTGTATTACCCCTCCTGTGATCTTTTACATGGATCTCTCAGATTGTATTATTTCTGCACATATATAACATCTTGTTACAGTGTATATCCACAGTATAATGTTACTGTAATCACTGGCATCTACCTCATTTTTTTTCTGCCAGTCATTTGTATCGTTTGTCACGTCTTTATTTATTATTACTTGTTGTCTGGTGTATTTGTATAGTATGTGCAAGACCACCCTCCCCTATTGCACCCTGTGCACTTCTATTTAAAATTATATTTTTATATGTAGAAGCGTGCTGCTCTAGTGTAAGAATATAATATTTTTTAATGCCCTGTATTCTGAATACATATTAACCAAACTAGAATCATGAATGAGACCGCTGATGAGTTCACTGAACAATAGTAGATGACTTGCACATACTAATTATGTTGCTGTAATATATTTCATTCACATAGAGCCAATATGCACATTTCAATCAAATAAATTTTAAACAATCTTCAAGCAACCTTTTTCAGTTTAATAGCCAATCCAGATGGAAGTAAAATTACAGAGAAGCTGGTAAAAGAGGAAATTATCTGCTGAAAATTGTACCATGTGAAAATATACAAAGAATTTGTATCCATCCCACATTAACACATTTATATCAGTCACTACTGAGATCTGAGTTATAATTCCTGTATTCTCTACAAACTGTCTTACTGTTTCCTACAGATGGTGCTGTGATTCTGGACAGTCCTGTTCATCCTGTGACTGAGGGAGATCCTCTGACTCTGCACTGTTTATATCGTGACCCAAAGCCCTCAAACTTCACAGCTGAGTTCTATAAAGATGGATCACTCCTCCAGACTCCAGAGATGACCATCAGTACTGTCTCAAATTCAGATGAAGGTCTCCACCACTGTAAACACCCAGAGAGAGGAGAATCACCACAGAGCTGGATCTCAGTCAGAAGTAAAACTATTTCATGTTATTTGATTGCTTCTGTAACTAAGTAAATAAAACATTTAAATAAAAATGAACATGTTTTTCTGTCTTAGATTCTGAATTTAATAGTGTCATAATAGGAGTGGTGGTGGTACTGAGTTTAATCCTGATCCTCATCATCATCATCATAGTGGGCCTGTTTTGGTGCTACAAGAAGAAGAAAGGTTTGAAAACTCCTTTCACTGTATGTTTAGTGTATGCAAGCTCCCAAAAGACATATGATTTCTGTGCACTGCAGTAGCTGTTGATGACATTAAGAGGAAAGTGAAGTAACTTGTGTCTCTTTGATGACTTCATGATTTATTTTTTCAAAAAGTGAAAAGCATGCGAATCTATTAAAATACAATCTCTGTTTTCTACAGGAAATCAGCAGAACACCAGTCAGACATCAAACCAGAGTCAGAATCCAAGATCCACACAGGCTGGTCAGTTTTCATTATATAAGCCTACCAGCATTTAAGCTTTTTGTTTGGTTGTTGGTTTGTCTTGCTGTGTTTTTTTTTTTTTTTTTTTTTTTTTTTTTTTTTTTTGCTTATGTTCATTAAAAGGATTGGCTTCTTAAGTTTTGCACCAGAGCTATGTGGCCCATGTAGCTAAAAGCTTATGGAAGTCAACGTTACCCAAAATCTTTTGGGTGGTCCTTCTTTTAAACTAGCTAAAAGTAAAGAAGTTCACTAAAGAAGTGAACTTGTGAAGTGTGATCAACTATGATTGGAGTAAGGAGAAATTTTGATTTTATTTCAGTGAACTATTCCTTTTAATAGGCAGTGGTCACATTTATAACAATGTTAAAATGATAAACACAAATAAAATTCATCTTCATTTTCTATACTTAAAAGTGAACTTTGCCCATGTAAAACACACCAGTGTCTCTAAAGAGTGACTCTGACTGTTCTAGATGATTCTGCTGCTGGCTACAGTGATGTAACTTATGCACAAGTTATGATAAAGAAAAAGAAATTCAGAGGAAAAGGTAAGAATTACATCAACATTTCTGCATTAACAAAATCTGTTTTCTACTTAAATTAGCTTCAGTGTCTAAACTGGTTTCTGTATTAAATGATGCAGTGACAACATCAGATGAGGTGACATATTCCCAGATTGCAATGAAAAGCCTGAAACAGGACAGCAAAGGCAAGAATTACCTACCACACATTACATCTATCATGCCCTGGCAGAATATAACAATATTTATCATTATCATTTCATTACAAAAGAGCATAATTAATCCTGTTAAATAGAATAGGTGCAATGCAGTATGTGATATGTTAAATAATCATTTGTCCTCAAAGTTTTTGATGGAAAAAAAAGGTTACATATGGTGTATCATGAAAATTCCTTCAAGTATTATGATTTTATATTTTCTGTATATCGCCCACCTCTATGGTTACACTAGACTGTGAATAGTTAAGTACTGCAGGATGTGATTATTTAAGTACTACAGTCTGACCTTTGGTTTCAATTCTTTCTACAACATTTTCTCACCAACTTCACCTCACAACTAGTGTTTAGCACCATTATTACACAAGTTGCCACTTACAGGAAAAGTGGTGGAGGAAGCAAGTAGGATTTTTAGAAAGACAGTGCCTGCCCCTTAGCTAGACGAGCTACAGTCAGCTAATTAGCTAAACAAACTTTGCAATGCAAACCGTTTTTTGAGACATCCAAGCGTCTCAAATGTACATAAACTTTCTGAACAACTTCTATCTTTGGCTTAAGCTTCAGATTTAAAATAAAAACTTTGACATGTTGTCCTTCTTTATCTTTTTTTTTTAGTTATTGCAGCAAGAGGCAGAATACAGTACAGTTATATGAGAAGTCACGTACAGCAAATAGAGCGGTTTGCTACATAAAAGCCAGTTTCCATGTAGTGCATTAAATGGTGTAATTTTTAAAAAAAATGTATTTTATTGCTCCAGCTGAAAAACAGCTTTGACTCAGTCCCTCACCTCTCCAATGGTCAGAAGCAGAAGGCCTGATTAAAGACTATATTTTGAGAGGTTTAAGGACTGTGAAAGCTGAATGAGACTAGAGAAACACTTTTTGTTTTCTCTTAGATTCTGGACTTGAATCTGATGATGTGATTTATGCCCAAATTTATCTGAAATACAAGAAGAAGCCGAAGAAAACTCAGGAAAACTTGTTTGAGGGTGAGATTAAAAAAAAAAAATTCTAAATTAGTGCTGACAGATGATTAAAATAATTGATAAGTCATATTTGTCTTATTTGCTCACATATTCTAAAGAGGTTATAAGTGCATTTTATTATAGTTATAAATAAGCTTGATCAGAATGTACTTTTATATTATTTTCATTATTTTCTAACCACATTCACATCAACCTGAACATGAAAATCACACAAATTCCACAGTTACCACAGTTTTCAATTCTTATGTTCAGCCCAACTTTGAGAGCACCAATCTAAACACAGTATAATCTGAATTGTGCTATAAATCTTAACAGCCTGTGCTGTAATAGATTAAATTCTTTCAGTTCGTTCCTGGTTGATGTTAATTCAGGGTTATTGCTCTCTGTAGGGAAGAGCAGTGAGGGAGCTGATACTGTCTACTCAGAACTAAAGAACTGAATAACAAAGGTGAGATGAGCTCAAACATCACAGTTCAGTGCCACAAGTGACAAATGATGGTGCGGGTACGAGAATATAAAAATATGTGCAATCTCGGTCAAAAGTTTAGGCACACCTCATTTACATTTGAAATATTCTGTTTATTCTGTTTTTTCTGTCACTGTTCATGTATATAAGAAAAATGATCTGTTTTCTTTTTTTAACATTAAACAGCAATTAACTAAAAATTTGAGTATATTTTGCAACACTCAGCTTTACGCTCATCAACATGAAAGCTAAATAAGGACTGGGACACTTTTCCTTTTCCAGACTAACACATATTGCTATTAATCTTTTGGTTTACAGATAGTTAGACAGACACTTAGAAAGGTTATTTATCCTGAAGGAAAATGAAGGACTGTCCACGATGCACAGATTATGCAAAAGTTTGATCACCCAGCTCAAATTACGTTCTGTTGATTTTCTAAGTGAAAATAAGCAAAAACATAGATATTCTCTACAGTAAACAAACATAAATATGACAGTTTTAGTGCATAAATTGTATTTATTTGCTAAGTTTAACATACTGGAAAACAGCGAAACAAAATAAAAATGTGCCATAACTTTTGCACAGGCTACATTTCTTGTTTTATTATTTTTTTTCCAATATGATGAATTCAGCAAATAAACAGTAATAGTGTATTAAAATGTACAGACGTGTGTTCTGTGTAGAGGATGTGTAACTTACTTTCACTTAGACAATCAACAAAACATGTAATGTGACCAGGGTGCACAAACTTTTGCACACAACTACATATTAGGGACCTATAAAAAATGACAGATTTGTATGTGATTTGAACAGCACTGTCAGCTAGCAGTGTGATGTTTAGAAGGAGAAACGTGATGCATTGTCCATCTTTTTGTTGTTGCTAACTGTACAGCCTTAAACACTGACTAGCAACTAACAGAGCTCATGTATAACAGATGGTGCAGTACTGACTCAACACTGTAAACTAGCAGATGCGTGCTTTAATGCAGGTGAATTTTATAAGGCATGACTGTGTAGTTTGTTGTTGTTGTTGTTGTTGTTGTTGTTGTAGTAGTAGTCATTATTATTTTTTATATATTGTGGCGTCATTGTCCTGATAGTGGAAAACACTGTACATTTAATTTTAGTTCACGCACCTCTACTAAAGTCAGAAATGAAAATAGCTGTGAATCAGTGATGTTTCTGAAATGGCTCCATTTCTGTTCTATGAATCAAGCTGTAAACTTTTCCCTTTGTATTTACTTTACTTGAAATCTTTACATTATGTGCAATACTAAAAAGCAATACAAAATTCTTCTCTTATAGGTCCATGAAGAACGCTTGTATGCCTTAAATCCTCAAAAAGGAGTTTCTGAAAAAGCGTCATGGCTGCCCAGATGTGTCCTCTGAGTTCTCTCGTAGTGAGAATGGTAAATGTGTGTATTAGAGAGTGTGATGCTGTTGTAAGGCCTGTTTTACTGCACTGTTCAAAACTAGCCATTTACAGTGACGCCTGATTCGAGATTTAAAGGTGCAGACAGAAGATGCAGGATGTGAACTTCAAAACCTTCATTTTAACATGAAATTCTACTTTCTTTCAGACAATTCTGTAAATATTGTGTTAAAAGGAAAACAGTCTTAGTTACTCGTTTGTTGACTGTAACTCAGTTATGCAAATTTGACTTCAAACTTTAAGTATATTCAAATATGCTGAATTCACTGCTTAACAGTCAGTGAGACTGTATTAACATGTCAGTGTGTTAGATGATCTTTGGCTGTTTGAGGGAGTGATGACAGCAGTTTCTTTTGTGTTAATATTTGACCCTACAG